AGCAGGAATTGTTTTTTCGCCCAGTATTTATTATTAATGGCTGTGAAGAAAGCATGCAATCTTCATCAGTAATGTTTGCAGATGACACAGAGATTGAGGGAATAGTAAAAAATAAAATAACAGGGCAGTTCACTTACACATAGTGGGAGTGTCTACATATGCAATTTTACCAGCTTAAATTTACAGCGCAGTAAGTAACTGCACAGTAAGCAGGAATAGGCTGGTGTCTACACGTGCAGGCATTAAAGTGCATTAACACTATGTGTGGACTAACTTGGCTGTGACTAAAGTCAGTCCACACATACAGTGTTACTGCGCAATAAAGTGTCTACATGTGTGTTACTGCTCAGTAACTACTCAGGCATAAATTTGATACCTACATGATGCAGGTATCAAATTTATGCTTAAATCAGCATAAGTCATCATATTTACTGTGCAGTATGGGTGTGCGCTGCACATCTGTACTGTGCAGTAATTTCAGTTACCGCATAGTAAATGCACACGTACAGATGCACCCAGTGATCTGCATCCCTTGGCAAGCTGGGAGCAACCAAATCAAGTGCATTTAATAAGAACTTAAGAACTGCCATTTACTGGGTCAGACCATAGGTCCATCTTGCCAAGTATCCTGTGTCACATCACAGTGGCTGAGAGTGGACGCTGAAAGGGAGATGGAACTGGGTATAAACCAGGGTTTCCCCACTCCTCCCCACCCCACTGTTTCTCTCACTTGCAGCTTCCAGCATTTAGGGTTCTGATTCAGAGCTTCCTAACTCCCTTGCTCAATAGCTATAGATGTCCCTTTCCTCCAAGGATTTGCCTAATCCCCTTTTCAATCTAGCTAAACTATCAGCTTCTACATCTGGTGACAATGAGGTCCACACTTTAATTACATGCTGTGTGAAAAAGAACTTCATTTTGTTAGTTTTAAACTCACTACCTACTAGTTTCATTTTGTGACCCCCTAGTTCTTGTATTGTGAAAGAGCAGATAAAAATCCTTATTTACTTTCTCTTCACCTTAGTATTTTGTAAATGCTTATCATGTCCCAAACCCTCAAACATCTCTATTCTAGACTGAATAGACCTAGCCTCTTTGGATGCCTTTACATGTGCTCCGGGGGTTGTTGGTGGTGGGGTGCTTTAAGTGGCTGTGAAAGCCACCCTAATTAAAGTGCCTGCAGCATCTTGTGTATTCAGCATCCTGGGCTTCAAAATGGCAATGGCGGTGCTTTAACTAAAGCTCATCTGACATGCTTCACTTAAAGCACTCTCACTACCATTTTGAAGCACGGGGATGCTGAATACACAAGACACGAAGGCTGCTAGAGCATATTAATTAGCATGCTCCTGCAGACTTTAGAGTATTATGCAGTAATTACAGCATGTTGGAGCAGTGTGCATCCCTGCATGTCTACAAGCACCCTTTAGTTTCTCTTCATATGGAAGCTCCTCCATACCACTAATCATCTTTGCTGCCCTTTTCTAGTTCTTCTATATCTTTTTTGAGCTATGAGGACCAGAACTGGACACAGCATTCAATGTGTGTATGCATTATGCATTTATGAAGTAATATAATGATATGGTTTGTTTACAATTCCCTTCTTAATAATACCTAACATTTTGTTGGCCTTTTTGATGGCTGCTGAGCACTGAGCTGATGTTTTTACCAAACTGCCCACAATGACTCCCAGATCTTTTTCCTATGTGGTAACAGCTAATGTAGAGCCCATGATAGTATAGATATAGTTTGGGTTATTTTTGTGCAGGTGCATCACTTTATACTTATCTATACTGAACTGCATCTGCCATTTAGTTGTCCATTCATTTAGTTATGCCAGATCCTTCTATAGTTCCTCACATATGCTCTCAGCCTGAGACTGTAGTTAAAGGCTTAATGTGACCACTGGATGTTTAAAGATCGAATAAAGTGTAGGAATAAGAAAGTTATCTTCCCTCTGCATTCAGCATTAACACAACCATTATTGGAGTACTGTGACTAGCTCTAGGACTTACATTTCAGGAAAACTGCTAAAAAAACAGGAGTCATGAGACTGATTAAAGGACTGGGCTACCTATCGAAATGGAGGTAAAGGGGTTATTGGAAAACAGTCTATGAATATTTCTGTGGGGAATTGAATTTTGATAAAAAAGGATTCTGCAATCTAGCAGAAAATGAAATGGTAAAAATGATAAGATCAATTAGCTAGAAAAATTCAGGTTAGGAATACAGTCTACATTTTTAACAGTGAGTAAAATGAACCACTGAAAGAATTTACCAAGCATTGTGGTGGAAATTTTAAAATCAAGGCCGAAGGTTCTTTTAAAAGATAAGGACTAATGAATTAAAGAATTAATGGATATAGGGCTGGTTTATGTAGGAAGTGAGAATACATTTTTACAACGTTTTATTCTGGCCTCCCAATCTACTAAACTGAATCTATTCAAGGCCTCCACGTTTGGAAGTGTCTGCTCAACAGAGAATCCAGACTGGAACACAAAGGGGTGCTGCAGTGAGGAAGGAGGAGCCTCTGAAAGCTATAGGGTGAGGATGAAATACCAGAAAACCAGAGGTTTCTGCAAATTGTGCTGCCTTCAATTGTGAAGGTTTAGCCCACAGAACTGGAACAAAAGGACTGTGAGGTAGGCCAGGACTGAAGTGGATTGACCACCTACAGGAGGGGCTCTTGACTGGATTATCAGGGCATTCAGCATACAAGAACCATTGTATACTAGCAGAATCATGTGTATGGTCAAGTCTTGAAAAAGGCAATATAAGCTTCATGTGCAAGGATGTTTGGGTACCTAAGAATGTAACAGCAGGAGTTACTGCAGGTTAGGCATGAAATCCATCAGCAGTGCTGCATAAGTGTCCAAATCTTAAACAACAGGGGACAGGAATGAAGTCCACTGGCAGGGTTTTTGCTGAGAAGCTATTAGCTTTACCAAGTACTGTGATGACTACCTTTTTTTTTCCATTTTTCCTGACTCTGGTGTGGTGGTGTTGATCAAGAGAGAGGATTCGGTTTAATGGATTTCAGCTCTCAGGTCAGAGTGAACTAAATCAATAATGAAGTGCTTCAAAATATTGCTGTTCTCTGCCAAAAGCAGACAGGCCTAAATAAGACATTTTCTGTATAGCCTTCTTATATCTTTACAAATACTCAGAGCTGTGGGTAGGCTGGTTACACTCAGCCCTGTACACCTAGAAGCAACTGGTAATTAAACAAGTTAATACCAAGTGTTTGAGTTTGGAAGCATTTCTGAATGCTGTGTCTTTCCACAGAAAACAGGAAAACAGCTACACATGAATTCAGTGTATGCCTGTTTTTAATAATTACTTTTAAACCAACATTAAAAACAAATGTAAAACAGACCAGGCAGAACAGGTCAGGGTGACCTGTAGAATAATAAAAAAGCAGCCCCATCATTAATGGTGTTAATTTTGTCAGTGT